AAGGGCAAGTGTTGCTGTGTGAATGGTCAATAGCGCATCACATTTCACCATTAAAGAGCCAAAAGCAATTTAACGTAAGTAAACTGTTTGGCAATGAAATCTGCTAAAGTGAGTGCTGCTTCCATAGCAGAGTTACTTGATGGTGGAAGAAGATGAAGCTACCGAAATATTGCTGACAAGCAATCGACATTAACACCGTCTGGAATTGTCAATTTCCTTTTTCCTTATCTGTAATATTTCGATAGAAAAGGAAATGCAAGAAGTTACACGCTGGTAACAGACGGGAACGACAAACTTAATACAAAACTAACTAAACTTATATATTTTTAGAAGAAAACAAAAAATCATAATGACTTTTTCAATTTTATTAAAGTTTCCTTTTTGTTAGAAATGTGAGATGCATTCATTATAAACTTAATTTCCTACATATCTTGAAAACTTAATTTAATTTAAATTAGTTATTCTGATTTCTAAAAATATATATAAATTGTGTACGGTACGTAATAGGAACTTAAGTATAAACATACTTATTTATACATGCTGTATGAAAATGATCAGAAAATGGGGTATAAAAGGTACCGTCACAATATTTTCCCTAAATCTCTATGCAAGATTAAAGAGCGGTTTGATAATCTAATCTGTTCATATAAGCAATAGTTGGAATTATAATTTGAAATGTTTTGCGATGGGGTAAAACTATTATTGGACAAAAATTTTTCTGAAACTTTACGAATTGTACTTAACATAATGATTGAACAAAAACTCTTACCCGCCTGTCATGGCTACGTAAGGCATTTTTCTATACCCGAAGACAAAACTTGCATTTAGAAGAAGACATTGTTAGTCGAGAAGGCTAGTCAATAGTCGGTTATTAAAACAAAAATCACTTAATTAATTAAAGTACATGAAAGATTAGTAAGCTTCGGCATAGTTGTATTATAATCAATGGAAAACAGCTTTTTTTAGGATTGAGGAGGTTCTGGGTGCCAGATCTAGGGAATAAGCCAGGGGGGTACAACTGCAAAGTTTCTCCAGTTACTGTTTTTCTAACCATAATGTCATAGTTTTCCGGTTCGCTACTCCATCGTGAGGTTGTATACTTGTATTTTCTTAGATTTTTGATCACTCAATCTCTGATGAATTTGTTTCATTCATCACCAACAAAATTTAGTTCAATAGTTTATATTTAGCTTCAACATATTTTATTAAGAATTACTACTAGGTTTACTGAATTTAATAATAATTTTGTACTTAGATATATTGTTCAAAATAATTTGAAATATTTTCAACAAAAAATTTAGTCGAAAATTATTCTCTCCACTCAGAACTGTTATTTCTGCTGTCATCTATTAAATCAAAATATTTACAATGGCACTTCGACTACTAAAGTTAACTTTTTTTGCTTTGATTTCTTCCTTCATATTTCACTCCATTTTGTTGCACATTTTAAGATACATTTTTTGTTGGCTACTTTTATGTGCTTTCTGCTCGTGTATCTTCTGGATGCGTGCTTTGGCTTGCTGTCGGACTACTATCAACAGATTTTCGACCATTTTGTGGCAGAGTCGATTTATATTTTACCCAAAAAACACTTTTATCTTTTAAGCGTAGAAGATATTTTTACTTTTTCCATAAAAATAACCAAAATATTTGGCTAAAAAATGCTCGAATACATAAAATTGAGAAGAAAACTAAAATGAAAACGAAAAATAAACAACAGGAATTGCTTCACTACTGCCACAATTTCCGCTTTAATAAAGTAATTTAAAAAGAGAAAACGAAATTTTTGTGTAATTTCCTTACATAAATAACAATAAAAAGTGTGTAACTTCCAACTTTCGTAATTTAAATTTGATGAAATCTTATATACTCAACAATGAGTTCCGAAATGAATTTAGGCGATGAATTCGTGAATCACTTTAAAGTTGCGAGGAAAAATATTTTTATAACTTTAATATAATAATTTTATAAAAATATTATAAGCACATTTTGACTATTCATATTTAGTTAATGATTATATATATTCCCATTTAAAGTAAATAAAAGTAAAAAGTTTTCTGAGGTCATACTGAGACCGCCCATTGGACCCACAAATGGGCGGAAGTTTTCTTAATGTAAATAAGAAATAATCGAGCTGAACGATAACGCGTTTAATTTGCTTAATTTGCTGATTATGTATTCTATTCGAAATGCAAAGATATATATATAATATATGTAATTTGAATTTTGTTAGTTTCACTCTTCAAATATAATTTCACCTAACAAACAGGCTTATTATTAAGGAATTGAATATTAATTTAAAAAGAGAAATTAAAGGTCTCTAGATTATTCACAAGACTCATTATATATTACTAATTTAAAATTAATTAGCTAATTATAGAACTCAAGTTGCAAAATGGAAACAGATTCCTTATAATCAACTTCCTGAACTGCTTTAAAAACAGGAAATATTTCATTTTTTTTCTCCAATCTTGGCAATATCTTTGGAATTTTAATATATAATACATACTTTAAAAATATAATTTTTATATATAATATATATAAATGAAATGGTTTAGTATAACTTTCTGAAATGGTTCATTTTGTGGTTCACATTTCTAAACCATTTATTCAATTCAAAAACCTTAGAATGTCTAGCAACTTTTCTGAAATTATATATGCAAGATGTGCCACCTTAGATGCAGCCAGGTATATGAACCGATGTCGTAATCTTGAGGTATGCCTGAAGAAATTTTTCACAATATTTAAAAATGTAAATACAAACAATTGGATAATGAGAGAGGAAAGCATATGGAGTGATGCATCCACCTAAAAGTATGCCCGTAAAAATATTTCCCAATATTTTCTAACACAACGACGGTCAATAAAATGGTGAATGAAAGATATGTTTATGAACATTTGTATTTTATTATATAATATTTTTTCATACGAAGAGCGACTAATATTTGCTTGATTTTGTGAGTTTAAAAAATTAGCTAGTGTAATTAGCGATAATACTGAATATCGACAGTTATATAGTATATTTGCTCTTTTACAAAACCGCTCTTTTTCACGGCGAAAAAGCACAATGAAAGGTGCCACCTTTCATAAAATAGGCTTACCAAGCACTTCACTAAAACTACTTGAAAGGCCCTAAAAGAATCTCAATATCCTCTTAGGTTATCTTAGTAAAAAATTTTTAATTGTAGTACACTCCTCTCGAGTTAAAAAATGTATTCATAATTTTACATATTTATCTGTCTTACATAGTAGTCTTCTTTTTTTGGTGCCAGATCATAAATGCAAATTTAGATTCAATAGAAATTTATAATCTTTTTTGTGTAATGGTAAGGATTCATAACACAATATAAGTATTGAAAATAAGAGCAAAAGAAAAATAATATAATTTAAAAATAATGCAATATTATAATTAAAATAAATATGTTTAATAAGTTAATTCAATAATTATTAATAATAATTAATAAGTTAATTAATTTAATAATTATTGCAATTTTAATATGAATGAATGTGAAATTACACGCTGAATAATGACATTTTAATGACTACAAGTCTTTCATTTTTATTAACACCCATAAAGCACCCCCTCCATCATGATATACAACTGTCCGAAGCTATTAACTAATATAGCCAGAGTTCAGCAGTACAATTAAATTATGAATAATATAAAGTTACTCTATCTTCTATCTTTTTATGAGCTTTCTAGCGTCAGCATTGCAGTAATAAGTATTTTGTACTTCATATGAATTATTTTAAATTTTATTAATGAAAAATTTTATTTAAACTGAAAATCAAATCCAAAAAGCTTTATTCACATATTAATATTCTTCACAATAATGATAATTATAACTAAATATAATTATATCAGTAATTAATTTATAAAGTAATTACAATACGAAAAATTTCTCACGCAAGGAATAATGTGCACAGCGGATTAAGAACATTGCAATACAATTTTTTGATCCAAAATATAGATAATCCAAAATCCAAAGTCGCATTTAGTAAACTACAAACTTTTTCAGAAACAGATTATTGTATCTTTTTCACAGTAAGTCTGAAGGGAAAGACAATGAAAGCACTTTTTGTTTGACCTGCGCTGTTCAAGCGTTTCCACCTTATCGAGTAATTATTCATGACAGAAACAATGGGTGACGGAATAGTTTGCATTAAAATGTTGTATCGACGACACAATAAATTTCGCAATATTTTACTGTCTTTCTTGACATATTACTCAATAGGCATTGGAATAACTTCATATTTTTATAATTTCCAGGAGCGTCTTTATAAACAAAATGTGTTCACACGTTGCTTGGCACTTCTTTCCAATATCTTAACATTGGTTTTTCTACCCATCATAGTCTACGATAGTATATTTGAACTGAACTCTAAAGATTGGACACCACTAATGATTAGCAGCTATGCCAGCTCAATGATAATATATGTCTTGAACATAATCTACGTAATCCTTTATCGGCAAAAGCGGCAACAAGCAGAACTTAGACTTCTACAGCAAATGCTCGACTTTTACTACAAGCAAATGCAATATATACCATTGAACAAACATATCGACAGACGTTTTAATAAATTAGTTTTCATCAAATACGCCTTTATGATATACACATTTGTAACATCAACGATATTTACTTACCAGATTATCACAACAAGGACATGGTATACAGCAATCACTATGTTCGTCTTCAATAATTTCGACAATATATTATATGTTACATTGTTTGCCTACTTTTTGGGCATGTGGTACATTTGCCGTGGTCTATACTGCATAAATGAGCAACTACGTCAACTTTTAAAAGAACTAAGATCCATCTCAAGCTCTACCGGAACTAACAATCCATACCAAATTCAACGGTTGGACAGCTTCCAAGTAAAGTTAAGTGCCAAAATAACGCAACTACTCCGTCTGCATTGGCAGTTGATCAGCTTTATAAGTAATTTAAATAAAATCTATCGGTTTCATGTGCTCGCCGTACGTATTACCTGCCTAACTTGGATGGTGGCACTGAATTATTACGGAGTTGTTTATATGTTTCGAGTCAGAAGTTTAACAATTTGGGTTATATACGGCGCAACCTATTTTTTGAGTATGTCAATAAAATTGTATCTTGTTGATTTAATATGTGAAATGACTGTGAAGGCAAGACATGAAACGGCTGATATACTGAAGGAATTCAACGAAATTGTTCTGGAATCAAATGCGTTACATAAATCGGTAAAGTATATAAATCAGGTATAAATTATTCATAGATATTGTTTAATTTTTTTTTTTGTTGAATATTTTAGTGTGAACAGTTTGGATTGCAAGTTTGCTGCTTCGACACTGATATAGACTTATGTGGAATGTTTTCTATGAACAGATCTCTCTTCTTTAAGGGAGAAGCAAAAATAGTTTCCTACACCATCGTTTTGCTACAATTTCATCTAACTTTGGGTGAGAAATGAAAACATCATATAACTAATAATGTTAATGTTAATTGTCAATAAAAAATTTTTTATGTACAATTTAAGGTTTTTTTTTTTTCAAATAAGAAATTTATTCTTTTCAGAACTATAGTTTAAAATTTATTCGATTATTATAAAAAAATTTTCTTAAGATAACGACTTAAATTGCACATATATACTCTTGAATGAATACATGTTCCAGAGAAAATACATTACAATAACCATAAAAGAACAAATGCAGCCATAGCAATGCAGAATAATTCTCTCTAATGAGTGAGAGAATAGAGCCTCCTTGAAATGGTTAAGATTATGACTACTGAATATAATGATGATAAAAATCGAATATTACAAAAAAAAATTAGAAAAAAAAACATAGTATTTGTATGAAACAGAAAACCTATTCTATATATTTTTGTTAAAAAACTTTCAGTTTTTATTGCCAGGTAGCGCTTTAAAAATTGAATCCCTTATTAACATTCTCTCCACATTTCAATGTTATAGCTTGTCATTTGTAAAAACCACGTTATCGAGATCACATATGCGTTATCAAACTACAACTCATCTTCACACACTGCCATCCTTATTCCTTAACGAATATATTCGAACAGGTATTGAAACTGCGAAATTTTGATCATTGAAACTTCTTCTGAATTAAATAATTCATGAAAATACTTTAAGAAATGCATTTTAGTTGCCGAAAAGAAATATTAAAATAATCGAATGCAGCTCTGTTTTAAAAATTAGATCAAGGGCTGGTGTTATAAGTGCGTTTCAGTCAATGGATGATCTTTTAAAGGGGACCATAAAGATTATCAAGAATCAGCCTTTCTTTTCAATTTTCCAAATAAGTTCCTAAAATTTTTGAATCCAGTTGGTATAATTTATTAATTTATTATAATTTATTATTATAATATAAATTTATAATAATACTGGAGTACTAACGGTGCACTGTGCCATTACGTCTATGTTCCAACGGTGGCGAGTATAGGCGCACCTATGCTCCATTGTGCCTATGCTCCAACGGTGGCGAGTTGCAACAAGTGGATTATGCAGGAGTTGCCAAGATGAAGAGGAGGTAGAATCTATCAAACACTTCCTGTGTCTCTGTCCAGGACTTCAGACAAGACGACTTCAATGAATGCAAACTTATCGGATCTCGTTAACTTCATCTGGAAAACCAAGTGGTTTAACTACGATTACAAAGGTTAGAAACTCGCCTCTCCCGGCAAAATTTTTGAGTGCATCACAATGGGCAATATATGCCTCCGAGTGGAGAACTGTCAGCACGCACCTTCCGAACCTAACTTCATTTTTAAATACCTTGATTGACTTATTTTTCTTCTTGAAGTTAGTAATTGTTAACTCATTTTTAACTTAAAGTATAATACTCCTACAAAAAGATAAAAAATGTTTATTAAAGTGGCAACACTCTTTTAAGCGCTCCAAGCGTAGGGTTAACACATAAAATATTAACGACATATCGTCAAAGTAAATTTGTTTTGTCTTTATGGAATCAATAAAAAGGAAAGCCGTAAATAAACACAGTTAAACACAATAGCAGATTATGGACTTCCGCAAAAGACTAAACCGTAAAATGCCATAAAACAGTATTTTTATATGGAACTAATACACAAGAACAATTTAACCGTCTGCAGTGAATACAGTATCTCATCGCTGTCGGAGACATTTGCTGCAGTGATGAAAATAAGGGAATGAGATAAAAAATATGCAGGATGTGTTATATAGTAATTTTGTCAGCAACGTTAAATAACATTCCCTTCAATTTCTTTATGCCAATATTTGATTATTTTTTTGTTTTCTTGGTTTCAAGCTACAAACACAAATTGGAAGTACTAAGTCCATTTACGAAACTGGATTTCATATTTATGGATAAGCGACGTTTAGTTGTGCAGCATAGGAGCAACGTTAACATATTTACGATATTTTCTTCTATGCGCTCAAAGAGAAAAACGTATACCGTAAAATTGATGAAGCATAAAAATAAAAATTCATTGCCAAATCACAATCAACTTATGATAATCGCCCACATCAAAGAACCAAAGTACCATTGACGTGGAAAGAAAGAAGCAACTTTACATCACAACCACAACAAGCATGAAATCTGTACGTAACTTCAACGGATGTAGTATGTACCTAGGATACGACTGCGACGCATGGTCACGTCGTTCTATGTAAAATCCTATTGGTATTACCACTGCTACAGCTGCTGGAGCTGATGGTTACCAGCGTAAAATTGTATACAGAACAATTTACTTCACTGGGCTTAAAGCGCACTTGACTTGTCATTTCCGGTTGCCTGATGTGCTGGTATCCGCTCTTTTCTTACTATTTGCTATACATTTTCTTTGTTACTTAAATAAATCATAAATAAAGTCAGTTCATCATTTAAAGAGCTGCTTTGCAACAAAACACCTAAAGAGGACGAAAAGATATTTGAAGTACTTTTAAAATTTAAGTTGGTACTCGTATTATTAGAACCATTGATCACTTTTCAAAAGCGCTTTATAAGTATATATTCAATACTAATTACCTAACCTAAAAAAGTATCTAATAAAAAATTTTAATAAAATTAATATATATCTTATTTATGATATAATTTACTAATAGTTTCGTGGATTCAATAGATTTAAATTACAAAAAAAGTTAACCAATTCTCAATCAACCAATAAAACTTAAGTTCAAAAATTAAAATCTCAAAATAAGAGGAAATTTAAAAACTATCTTATGTCTTATACTATCTTATATATTATAAAATATATTTGAAGAAAGATAAAATTTTATTTCAAAAATCTTATGTTGTTTTTTGTGATGTATTATTACTGACGTCTTTAATCTTCTCTTCATTTCCGTTTTAAGCATCCTACAGCTATGAGGTTACATCAATTTCGATATTTATTACAGAATATTTTTAAGCATATCACAGATTATATCTTCCATTTCAAAAACTATTGCAAATATTTCAAGAAATAATTTTCACAATAACAAACCAGTAAATGTATCTTACAGGATCACAAATACTCACAATAACAACAAATGTATTTCTGAAATTATCCTAATTAGAGATACAATTTTGAAATTACTATTTCCATTGTTAGTCTTACACGCAAATTAAAATACAGTTTCTTTCCCCTCATATACCATATTTAGTGCAACATGTGCACTATGTTTGCCAAAGTCGTTTAAGCTAAGTACATGCACAACTTGGTTTCACATCACTGTGGAGACGATTATGGTTTTTCCCAGAAAAGTATAACATCTAATATTTTGCATCTGTTACTGAGTGGATTGTTAACTTTTATGATGTCATTTCCTCTACTGCGAACATATTTGTGAATTGACTGCATGAAAGAGCTTCCGCAGTAACGCCACCTGAAAATGCATACAGAACTGCATGTGCCTGTACTTTTGGGTGAAACTGTAGGTGCACCACTGCAAGTCCGCATGACTACTTGTCGTACATGTGGGTGTGAGTGTTTGCTCAGCAAGGATTTGCTCATATTGCAACACAAAACAAGGACTCTGAATTGCACATTTTTTGCCATTTATGTTTGCAACATTTTCAAATGTACTTTAAAACGCTTTGAACAACTTTCTGAAACAACTACAAAAAATTAATCTTTTTTTCGAAAAACTCTCAAAAATGTATGCAAATGTCATAGCAGTTGACTTTGTTAAGCTGAGTGGGTTGAACACAAACAACTGAAAGTATGTTTTTTTGTGCTCTCCTTCCGTTTACCTTTTTCGAATAATCACATGGCTTCTTTTAGTAGCATTTAAACATGTTAACAATTAAAAAAGTGTTTAACAAATTTCATTTTGTATAAAAATTTAGTTAATAGGAAATCGCTATTCATCTACCTTAACACAGCCCATAATTCGCCAAAAGGTGATCAGTTGCTTTTTTATTCTTTTCCTCAAATGCCTATTCATTATCTCCAATGTAAGCATTGATATCATTGCATGCTTTGAATAAGTAAGTAGAGAATGCAATCTGGTCGAGGTCACACATAGAAGTGATAAGTTCCTAATAATACCAGATTAGTTCCCTTAAACGTAGTTAATAATAATACACATTACTTAAGATGTGTGTGCCATTTGCAAATAACAACAGATAATTAGTTCACTTTAACATCAGAGACGAACTTCAGTCCATCTAAACTCGCAGCTCCAAAGAAATTTGTTCAAGTTTTTGCAGAATCAAACACAAATAGACAGATGTTATAAGATTTCATTAATAACCGGTCTTTATATCCTGACACCGTCATTGCTAGCATGATTACTAGCATGATTCGATTAAACAACAACACAAATCATCTATTTTTTTTAAAGTAAGATTGGACATCGGCAACTTTAATGGCCCCATTTCACAACATGTGTTAATTTAGTTTTCTGTTTAGTCGTGTATACCGAAGAGGCCTATTTAGTTCTCTGCAAGTTTAGCGCCAATTTTAGAAATATTATATTTCCCTTTATGCCTTTATGACCTGTTTGACCTGGGTCAATCTGCCTATTCCATCCTTGTGCTGCTCAATATTTTTGGAAGATATCATACTAATGCAAGCTTTCGTAAAACAACAAATTTTTATCAAAATGGGTCTACATGTTAACATTTAGTGAGTATTGTATTTTGAAAATAAGTCAAAATGTTTTTTTTATAATAAAATAGAATAGAAAAAGAAAAGATATTATATCCGAATGAAACGGAAAACTGCGAATATGATTGATCATTTGCGCAGGTAAACAACCCTAACTGGAGAGAATACACTAATCGTTGCATATGATAGCCAAAATGTTACATGACGTGAATTTCTTGATATCGAACGAGTCACGAACTCCCTGATTATTAATCTCCAGCTCACTCACATGAAAGCCAGTCAGTTATAAAAAATATGACAAGAGATCTCATGTACTTACAAGCAAGGCTGACATTCAACATTCTTAGATAAACTCATTTGATCAAGATGATAACGCAAACCATA